AAATCTTATATTGGACTCTGCTTGACCTCTCTTGGCTTCTGCCTATAATTTAGAACTGGGAATATGCTACCCTCAAGGACCTCTCAGGGTCCAGCCTATGATAAATGAAATGCTGCCACCCAAACTGCCATTAATTACAACCCCTACAGCCCTGTGAGATGAGGGAGAGAGGAAAAGACTAAAGAAAAAAACCAGAATGTTCCCAAGATTATACTATTACTTGTTCAAAATAGAATTCAGTGAAGACTCCTGGAAAATTTTCAAAATCACAACACTCCACAGCTTCATTAACAACCACTAAAGTTTAATGACAGGTGATATCATGATAAGGTTATATAGTAACCAACTTATTCATTCAAAAGGTATGTTTTGAGAGCTGAGTATGTAAAAGGTACTTTGTCAATGATGGGAGTGGAGGAGGCAAAATGAAAAGATAAGATGAGCCCTCCAGGATCCTTTTCCCTAAAGAGCTGATCATCTGTTACAAACTCATCAATAGATGATGTTTAGAAGCAGTGTGGTGTGTTAAAAGAAGAATCTTAGACATGGAAACAAACACAAGAGAGCTGGGTTCAAAATCTCAACTCTGGAACTTAGTAGTCATATAACTAAGGCAAATTCCGGATCTGTAAAATGAGGTCAATAACCGTGGTTATTGTTGTGAGGATGAAATAATAATGTCAGGTGCTTTGGGAAATGTCAAGGACTACTTAAATATCAGTTATTATTAATTAACATTATTAATAACTACTCAAAATAATTTTGCCATAAAGTCATCAATCAATGATCATCTAATCCAATAAGCACTTATTAAATTCTATCATTGATAGTTAATCATTATAACCCTGCTATATTATTATTACACCACTCCTGCTTTTGAATCTCCAAAGAACTTTTTGAACTTCTCTTACTATTCTTTCACTTTCTACTTTATGTCATTGTTATTTGTATATATGTCTAATCTTTCATTCTATATTAAACACTTCTCACTCTTGTATTCCCCACAGCATCTTATAAGCAATAGAAACTCAATACTTATTTGTTGAATTAATGTTAGGCTCTGCCTACTGGGAGAGGAGCTGTCTATCAAATGCTCACCCCACTTTGCACCACCTAACAACACCAATGGACACTAGGATATTCAGCAACAGGGGCAGCTAGGTGGTGCAGTGGATAGAGCACGGGCCCTGAAGTCTGGAGGACCTGAGCTCAAATCCATCCTCAGACCGAATAAGTGAGTTTACTGGCTGTGTGCCTCTGGGCAAGTCACTTAACCCCAATTGCCTAAAATTAAAAAAAAAAAAAAAAAAGGATATCAGCAACAGCTCCACAGGTCTGTCTCAGGCTCTGTGGAAGATGTTGGGACTTGTCCCTTTGGCTTTGCCCCTTGGGGTTGTAGCCTAGATTCTTGTTGGGTGGTCCATTAATTGGTTTCTAGGGTTGTTATAGATTGCTCAATCAGGTCAAGACTTGATCCCATTCTTCTCCCAGAAAACTAACAACAACAGCAATTAGTATTTATATAGCACTATGAGGTTTGCAAAATGCTTTACAAATGTTATCTTATTTTATCTTAATCAACAACCCTGGGAGGCAAATACCATTATTATCCCCATTTTATAGGTGAGGAAACAGGTAGACAGAAGTTAAGGCCAAAGGGATCAGTCTTGTGGTGAATGCTGGGCCTATAGTCCCAGCTGGGCATTGCTTCATGGTCCTGTGATGGTTTGTAGGCCCAACTAGAGACTTCATCTCTTCAGGGCTACTTAACTGCCATCTTAGCTCCGCTTTAGGGTATGATGGCAAGGACTTCTCCCTGATAAGGGCAGGTTGAAGATTATTTACTTAAAGCCACCACTCCCAGCTAACAAAATCTAGCCAAAGTTCTTTCTTTCCCTTTCTTTCTTTTTCTTTCTTTCCTCCCTCCTTTTTATCTTTCTTCCTTTCTTTCCTTTTTCCCTCCTTTCCTTCTTTCTTTCTTTCTTTCTTTCTTTCTTTCTTTCTTTCTTTCTTTC